AAAATCAGTGACAGTAGCTAGCTGATGCACTCTAAGGTCCAATCTGCACAGTATATATAAAACAGTATTGTACTACTTCAAACAGTCGTTGCTTCCTCCAAAGAACTGTGAGAACAGACACTTGCTAAGGTTAGGAGACCCTGTTTTTGACACAGAGTTAAATTCCCAAAGTTTCCTGTAGCAGTGTTGTGCCCAGGTTTGGTTTTTAACCGTTATTAGGGACCTCTCCATATCAGGTTGTGTGAGAAGAATCTAGTCAATCCTGCCCATTTTCAAGACATGCGCTTTTGTCGGGAGCTAGTGGCAATTAAGGTGGGGAGGTTGTGTGTCATCGTCAGCCCTCAGCTTTTCACAGTGGAACACAGCCTGTGTTTGATCCAGCCTGCAGAGTCAACTTCCGAAAGAGCCCTGAAGTCTTACAGAGTGTTCCACACAAAGATGAGCCATGGCCCTCCTACCAGCACAGCAGTTGTGCCAGGCTGAGCCTGAGGCAGCACAGCTGGTAGCATGGAAACAAAGAAGGCCTTTCTTGGCTATTCTCTCAATGCAAGGAACTGCCACAGCAATGCTTTTCATTTAAGGCTGCTTCACGCTGCAGAATTTTTCCAGTTGGCTATGTACATAACAGTGTGAAGAAAGGCCAGATTATGCATCAGGAGCCAAGAGCCATCTCTGAGGCTATGTCTATGCCCGCTGGGCAGCCATTATTTTAGAAATGGCTTCTAGTTCCTACCTGTGCAATCCCTTCCATATTCATCTGTCTCTATGCTGTGAAGCCTAGACAAACACAGTCCCAGGTAAATCACTGGGCCAAGTCACAGACCATAACCTCCTGTTTCAAAAACCCTGTAGTTCTGTGTTTGTATATGATTGGCCGCAGCGTTAATCTCTTCCCTTCTTTTGGGAAGTCATTTAGTAAAAATAAATAACAGGTTCTTTAGTCTGTATACTGCTTATTTTCTATTTCTTTGTTTGGTCTGTGCACCTTTTCTTCACATTCTCTCCACCAGCTCTTTTTAGACCCTAACTAAGAGTACTTTTTTTTACAATTAATGGTCCCTCCTGTCTTGCTCATTAGCATCACTAGGAAGCAGTTGGTTAACAGCCCTGCTCTTCACCACCTTCAACAGCCCAGAGATTAGCCAGCTGGGATGATGTCCCCATCATCATGATTGCTATAATAGCACTTAAACTGGTGACTGGCTTCCACTCAGGTATACTGCAAGGCCTAGGATATTGAAAGTGCTGATTATCCACAGCTAAGCCTTTTCATATGCTGTGTGGTGTTATTTATAACAGTAGGGATCCAACTGCATAAACTGGGCCTCTTGTCAGACTGTTGATTGTGTACAAAGGGCTGAACCAAATGACCAATGTCTTTCAAGCTGCCAAAGTAATCAGCCATTTGTTTCAATTTGGAACTAGGCAGTCATGGCAACTGGCTTGATCTACAGTTGATAGTAACTGACCTTGTTCCATGTATGATATTCCAGTCCTCTGTAAAGCACAAAGGAGGTGACAAAATACTATCACAGGGAGAGAGAGAGAGAGAGAGAGGGAGGGAGATTGGAAACTGAAAGGAAAAATGAACTAACCCAATGTATGCTGTGTTTGGGCTGATTTTTTTTTCTAAATGTGTGATTGATTTTGAAATTATTTCTTATGTGTATCCTGCTCTTCAGCGTCTAATTGACATTGGCTTACAAATGCTGGTGGCAAGTTGAAAAGTGCTTATTAAGGGAGAGAAATCCATGATAGTGCATCGCTAAGTCACCCTAGATGTCACAGAAGGTCAGTGGCTCTGGCTCTGGCTCCCATTCATTGTGCTGATTTTAGAGGAGGCTAGGACAGTCAAGGATGTAGAAGTAGCCAGCACCTAGGAAAAGAATAAGCTGGGGTCTGAGAAGTCAGCAGGCTAGAAGAAATAATGGACCTGGAATAGAGACCTGAGCAATCACATCATGTCCTGATCACAACTCATGGGGGCAGATGAAAATCCTGAGTCTCTTAGGCAGCCTAGCAGCTGAGCAGATGAGTTTCAGGACCTTGGATAGCTCCAATCAGATAACTCCCTCTAATGAGATCTAGCATTCAACAGAAGCGACATAACCCTCTTATTCCTGAAGAGTGTAGATTCTTAACATTGAAAATCTTTTTTTTAAAGTATTTGGCCTAGAGCTTAGAACTCTGCCACTTTTCAGTCAGCTCCCACTTTCTGTGTTGCCCATAGCATGCAGCGGGTTCTGGGGAACATTAGGGTACTAGATATGCAGGGGGCAATTCATCAGGGGAGTCAGCCTCAGAGGAAACCCAGCCAGATGGACGGGGTATAAATATCATCATCATCATCATCATCATCATTCTGGGATTCTAGTCCAGAAGCTTGGATGAGGCATTCCAACTGGCTCGGGTTTGGTGTCAATGTCTGACTATGAGTTTAACACTTTTGCGGCTTGCACTGGTGGTTCACCTGATCTACCTGGCTTGTTCTCTTCTGTGTTCCAACTACTGCTTGGGTTTGAGTTCATGACGTATCAGAGGGTAGTAAGTTGCTGCAAAGATAAGCTCAGTTTTCTATACAGTAGGAAATATATAACAATTCTTTTTGAAATTCAATTGAATGTTGACCTATTTGGCAGGGAGATGGTGTGTGGGTGTGGGTGGGTGTACACACACACACACACACACACACACACAATATTAAAAAGAAGGAGGGAACAGTGCAGGAGATTGAGGGAAAGATGAAGAAGGCCGGATCAAGAAAACTAAAAAATAGAAATCAGAAGTGTACATGGTGAGCAGCTGCTAAGGTGACAAAGACAGATGTTCACATATTGATTGGAAGTAACTAGCCAAATCTTTGGTTGCAGGTCCCTGCATCTCTAAAAATGGTACAGAGGACCCATGGACAGAAAACATAATCAGAAGAGAATTAGGGATAGGGTGCTCAGCTGGAGAAGATAATTAGGTAATGAATGTTTAATTATAAAACTGAAGAGAAAAGGGTGCAGGTATATTAAATAAGAATCCATTTAATTGATTCACATCTTTTGAAAGGAGGTATAACAGGAGAAAGAAGCAAATTCATGGGCAATTAATGGCTCCCCATTGTTTTATGAGAACCTAGACATAAGCATGATTGTACTGCAAAGGGGAAATTGAAATCTTTTCTGTGGCAGTGACTGGCCGGCTTAATTAAAACCAAGATACAGATAATGGGTCATTGAAACAAAAGGAGTTGAGTCCATGAGACTGCATCATCTGTGAAAAGCTAGGTTTGTGTTTACATTTCCTTTTTGCCCCATTCAGAGACTATATCATGAATGGAGAAACAGTATCTATTTTGAATGAGGCTCTGGAATGAAAATTTAGGCAGTGTTCTGTAGTTACTTTAATGAGGAGCTGAGTGAAAAAGACAAGAGTATTGTGCAGATTATAATAATTCACGTGCACCAGACTAGCATGTTAAAACACTACACAATAAACAAATATATGTGGATTTAAATTTATACATTCACTTTAATAAGATCTTTCTCTTTAAAAAAATGTTTATGCAAGTTTTGCAAGAGTATATTGGTGCATTTGCATTAAACTTGCTGCTTTTCTAAATTGATCCTTGCAGGTGAGTTGCTAACATTGCTTACCAAGAATTTCATTATTTTGGGCAAATGGGATAGCCAAAGGAAACACAATGGTGTATGTGTGTGCTCGAAGCAAAATAGGTAAAAATCTCCCAGAGGGTCACCTTCAGTGTGAATTGGTGTGAATCTCCCTCAAATTCAAGATGAGGCAATGAATCCAAATTTCATTGTTAATCAGCCATCTTATTGTGCCTCAAGTTCCCATTCTTGAAGAGGGAAAACCATAACCATAAATCAATAGTTCTTATTGGTAGGAGGAATGCAATGACCCAGGACCTGTTCCCTTAGGCTTGTCATATGTTAACAGCAATATATATTCAACTATAAATTGCCTCTTCATTATTGTTTCACATATAGCATTTCACAATCAACTGTAGCAGACCTTCTTCTGGTGTTATCTACCAGCTTGCATAGTAGACAGCATGCCTTCTCTTAGAAGAATTGTGAATCTGTCTGTAACTTTCTCTGAATTTGCAATGTGCATTTTTATGGAATGCCAGAGACATACCAAAGGATGGAGGTCATTGCAAAAATATGCATAGGAGTATCTGAAAGGAATATACAAAATAAAGGTGGCCTCTGTGTTATTAAAGAATATATGAGTAGACTTCCTTTGAGGGTTTCTGAATTCATGAGCAATGGTGTCAACAAATGAAAAGAGAATTGTGTTTTTACAGCAAAATTCTATGTTGAGCTTTCTGAACATCCTGGATGGAATGAGGTTATGATGTTAAAATGGTGTTCAAAAACTATATCCTGGAGACCTTACACAATTGTTGTCAGTGATGCCGAAAGTACAGTGATGATTATGAAGATGACTCTGTTATATAAGACTGATGTTATACTATAGTTAAATGAAGCACTCATGATATAGCTGACAGCTCATCACTAGAATTTAGTTGGGACTGGCTAGAGTGGGACTTAAGTCAGATATTGGTTGCATTATTTGATATGGTTTACAGGACAACTTACTAAGATCTTCTTGATGAAATAGTGTCCATCACGGCTTGTGAGCAAGATAAGAACATCTGTTTGTTAGGAAACACCAAGGGCACCACCTCTCCCCCAACACAGCGCCGCCTGGGATGATTTATCACTCCTGTGTCTCAGCATGCTGATGTGACCCATATCCGAGGACATGAGCACACGACACTAGCAGAGTCCAAACAGAAGCTGAGCCTTGAGGTGTGACATCTAAGCCTAATTTATTATGTATAAAATCAAATGTAACAGAACAAAGAAAACATGGCTCCTCTCTCTCTTTTTACCTTGGAGAGAAGGGAAAAACAAAAGCAATAGAGAACGGAAACTCGTATCTGAACTTCCATTCCCATGGCATCCAGCACTGTGGAATGTAAACACAGACACATGACAACAACAATCACATATCTGCAACACAGAGGAATGAAATTCCCAACGCTGTTTTCAGCTAAAGGATGTCCTAAAGGTAAAGGTAAAAGGACCCCTGACCATTAGGTCCAGGCATGACCAACTCTGGGGTTGTGGCGCTCATCTCGCTTTATTGGCTGAGGGAGCCAGCATGACTAAGCCACTTCTGGCGAACCAGAGCAGCGCATGGAAACGCTGTTTACCTTCCCGCTGGAGCAATACCTATTTATCTACTTGCACTTTAATGTGCTTTCAAACTGCTAGGTTGGCATGAGCAAGGACCGAGCAATGGGAGCTCACCCCGTTGTGGGGATTCGAACCGCCGACCTTCTGACTGGCAAGTCATAGGCTCTGTGGTTTAGACCACAGTGCCACCCGCATCCTAGATAGCTGTTTAATAGCAATAGTTGGATCCAGCACTTTAAGTGCTAAAACACACGCTTTAAACACCCAGATGACACATGGCCATTTTCTTTCTCTCTGAAAAGATGGAAACAGTGGCTCTTTCCAAAGAAGAATTGGACCAATTGCCTACATAGATACTGGTCTCCAGAGAGGGCACACATGTTATTTATAGGCCACCATGTTATTTGCCTAGAGGAGGGGAATACCACTTTGGGCAGAGAACCAGTGGGCCTTGGAATTACAGGCAGAGCTTGGTGTAGGCCAGGCATGGCCAACAGGTAGATTGTGATCTACTGGTAGATCACTGGACATCTGTGGTAGATCACTGGTAGATCAGTAGCTCTTCCCAAAGAAGCTCAACAACTTTGGCTCCCCTAAAAACAGCTCAACAACTTTTCAGGAGGTAGATCACTGCCACTTTTAACTCTGTGAGTAGATCGCATTCTCTTGGGAGTTGGCCACCTCTGGTGTAGGCCAAGGGTAGTCAATATGGCGGGGCTATGTCTGGGGTTTGACAGGAGTTGTGTACTTTTGTGGACATCATGTTGGCTACCCTTGATGTAGTCTATTACATGTCATGTGAGATGGGAGAGTACTTACAGAAAGTGTACAATAGACTTAATCTAAGTCAAGCTGAGGACATTTCCCTTACACAAGCTGAGTGACTGTGCAGTTCAGTTGCTTCCAAGTTTCCAAAACTTTTCCAAGTTGTGTCCTAAGGGCTAGTCATGGACTCCACAGTTAATTGGAACCTTAATACCCACCTTCTATGAACTCCTGGAAACATTCTTCAAGTTTTGACTTTAAAAATAAATGAAATTTCAAGGGGGGAATTCAAAGCAAAACAAAAACATGTACTTTTCTTTTGCATGTAAACAAAACTAAAAATACTGTGTCAGTTCACCCTTAGTTCTAGACCAAATTTAAACAAGGCAACAGTGAGACCCCAGCAGGTTTATGTGGTTCCCAACACAAATTTAGCTTGCCTCTGAAAACATAGCCCAGATTCCTTAGCAATACACTGGAGTTATTTGGCAGACATGAATGGTACCTTGGCGGATGAGTAGATATGGATGGAGTTCCCTGGGGGGGGTTAAACATGTGAGAACCAGACCCAGAATATGTTGTCTTTTACAAGTCAAAACTAGCATCATGAATTGTGTACGGAAGACAATAAGGAAGCATTATGGACCCCGGAGAACTGTTAGATTACCATTTTAAGAGTCTTCTGTTACATGTTCTTTTTGCAGCAGAGCTTTGATAATGATTATCATCTCAGTAGACTAGTCTCAAAGAATACACATGAATAAAGTTGCAATCCTTGGAAGGGAAAAAAAGTTCTTCTCATTACAGCTTGTTTCCTGCTGACAGTACATATTTTTTAACATAACATAGATATTATGTAAATTAATCCAAGGCAGGCTGCTGGAGATCTAGAAGCCTTCATGCAATTAAATATACATGGGCTATTTTGAAGTTTAATTAGTGTTAAACTTCTTGTAGGTAGCAGAAATGAAGTTCATCCTCTTGGCAGGATTTTAAATTCGTAACTGCTGAAGAAAAATAATGGCTGTCGCTATAATTGTTTCTGCTTTGAGAAAGCAAAGTGAACATCTAATACACAGAAAAAGAATGACGAGGGGAAGTGGGAATGCAAAGGAGATTATAATGTTGTGTGGGAAATGTTACAAAAATGGAAGGGAAAAGAATCAGAATTTCTGGGTACAACTCACAGTATCCTCTGGATCAGCTGAAAATTTAATCAGAAGCCTTCTGGGGGATGTGCTAGTGCCATTGTACTGAACTTGTTTGAAGAGTAAAAAGTGAGGTTGGCAGTATGAGCCTTGTCAGGTTCTGGTATTATTCTATAGATGCTTCCAAGTCATCTTTGGGTGATAGCTCATTGCGTTCTTGAGCTGTGGCTTCCCTGAGCAACTTGGTTTGAGACAGCTTCTTCCACCTTGGACTTGGGGCCATTGACTCTTTGTCAGTGGCATGCCCCCTCAAGCCTAGCTCTCACTTACGGCACAGCACTGACAGGCACATGCTACCAGCTGCTGTACTGGCAAAGAAGCCTACAGGATAAAGTGAATTGATTGCTGCATTATGGCAACATCATGGCCATTTGCCCTGCAAGAGGCAAAGTGAACCCAATGGGGATGTTATGTAAGGCAGCTCCAAAGGCTATTGCTGCAGATCCTGTGCATTTTCAGATGATAATGATAATAATTAATAATAATAATAATAATAATAATAATAATAATTTTTATTTATGCCCCACTCTCCCCAGCCAAGGCCGGGCTCGGGGCGGCTAACAAGCAATAATAAAAACAAATTGAATGAATACAACTTAAAAACAAGATTAAAATACAACACTAAAATATTGAAACATTAAAATATTAAAATGCAGCCTCATCACAGGAGGAGAAGGAAAAGAAAAAAGAAAGAGAGGGAGGGAATCAAATTGGCTCCAAGCCAAAGGCCAGGCAGAACAGGCCCTGCGGAAAGAAATCAGATCCTACAGGGCCCTGGTCTCATGAGACAGAGCATTCCACAAGGCCAGAGCCAGTGTAGAAAAGGCCCTGGCTCTGGTTGAAGCTAATCTAACTTCCTTAGGGCCTGGGACCACTAGGGTGTTGCTATTTATGGACCTTAAGGTCCTCCGTGGGGCATACCGGGAGAGGCGGTTATGTGCTGTGTCAGGATCAGATGAAGAATGAGATAAAATTAGGTACTTAGAGGCTATATTGGGGCAATTATTAGGCATAAGAGAAGAATAGTGTGGGGCTTCTTTAACTGATTACAACATGACACGGAAGGAATAATGATAAGATATTGGAGCAAAGTATTGGAAGACACAAGATTTACCCACTCTGGAAGAATGGCAGATGAAGGTGATTGACTACATGGAATTGGCAGAAATGACTGGCAGAATCCGAGACCAGGGAGAAGAGTCGGTGAAAGAAGACTGGAAGAAATTTAAAGACTATTTACAGAAGTATTGTAAAATTAATGAATCTTAGAAGGATGTTGGATAGAAACTAAGTGGTTTCCAGCTGTAATGCTTTAAGAGATACGAAAAAAAGGTTTACAAATGGGTAAAAGCTTAATGGTAAGGATTTGCTGAACTAACAAACTGAACTGGAATACAAAAAAGGGAGGTACGAGGAGGTCCGGGGAAATAAGTGTAAGGAAGATATGCTATGGAAAATTAATGTGTTTTTAACTGTTTTTATTTTGTATGCTTCTTTTTATTTTTCATTTCTTTGTTATACCTTAATAAGGGTTTTTTTATTCTTCTTGCTGTATTTTGTATTTTCCTGTATTTTTATTTTTTGTTTTTGTGTAATTCTTGTATTCTTTCAAATTTTAATAAATATCATTAAAAAAAAAAAAAGATATTGGAGCAGGGTGGTTACAGCACAACCATCTCCTGTTGTAAGGGTTCAGGTATTCCTGAGAACCGATGTAGCTCACTGCTGGAGCAGAAATTGAAACCCTGGTCACCTCCAGGTTGCAAGATACCTGTATGAAATCCTACAATGCTGATCATTGTAGATAATTCTAAGTTAGGTGGACCAATAGATTGACTCAATAAAATACATACTTCATTTTCTTTCATATGATAATGTAGGAAATAGTAACTTCTTAAAGATGTTTCAAGCTGCTGTGAAGACCTGATGTTCAAGGCATGTGTTATAGATTAAATGAATAATAATAAGGTTGTGGGTTGAGGGATTGAAGATATCTCATCAATGCACTGTCCTCAGTAAAACCATTTCAGCAATGACAGCTGCAGTTAAATTCAGGGCTGCTTCATATACTCTTAAGATCCTCCATACAAAGTGACCCCCACACCGAGAGTAGATGCCGCTAATGCAATTCCAGTGAATATTTGCTGCTCCTGGAAGCAAGAGAGAGAAGAGGGGTCATGTGTGATTTTCTTCTCCAACAGAAGTGGCAGGATGCAGCAATGGGCAGCCATTAATTCACAACTCACGCCACGACTCTCTGCAGGCGACGGACATTTGTACAGCAGTTCCGCAAAAAGTCAACAGACAGCACACAGGAGTGTTGTTGTCTTGATGAACAGAAATGAAAGCTGGCACAGGGGAAATAACACAGCGGGGTAGTTGAGTGACCTGAGCCATCGTGGAGGGAAAGGGAGAGACTGTGGAAGACCCGTGTACAGAGAGAGAAAGCTCCTCTGCTGGACTGTAAATAAAGAATTTATTGAAGAAGGCTCAGCACACTTTGCAGCTCACGTATAAAATTTGTGCAATCAGCGATTTCCTAAAACACCTTAATTAAACACTCCCTGTGACCGGCAGTCTCATAAATTTTAAAAAAAGAAACACCAAGCCACAAAGAAGTGCCAAGACTTTGTGCTGGATTTTCACAATGACGCACACAAGATTCTTTGTCATTTAACCTTTATCAGTCCCTTGTCACACAAGCTTTTATACCAATCTATATAGACACATGAGAAATAACTGGCTGTGTTCTTAGACAAATAAGATATACTATTCATGGTATCAAATTGTAAATTTCAACAGAAGTAACTCATAAAGTTCAGCAAATGAACAAAGCAGAAGACCCAGTGAATCAGATCATTCTACAGCCAGTTCATGCATAAGGTCCATCCATGTAATGGTGTCCATTCCATCTGTCTGTCCATAAAGTTCAAACCAACCACATGAAAGGTTGTCCCAGTTCCACAAAATCCTTTCACAAAGTCTAAGACAAGCCACTACTATGCCGTAAGATCCACTGTCCTGTAATATCACATATGAGCTTTAACTACTGATGAAGCCCAGGATGGCGAAACAAGGCCAATATTCTGGAAATCCTTGTCTTAGACTTTGTGAAAGGATTTTGTGGAACTGGAACAACCTTTAATGTGTATGGTTTGGACTTTATGAACAGAGAGGTGGAATGGACACCATGTCATACCTCAGGTTACAGATGCTTCAGGTTGAGTTTTTTCGGGTTGCGGACCACCAAAACCCGGAAGTACTGGAACGGGTTACTTCTGGGTTTCGGCGGTCGCGCATGCACAGAAGCGCCAAATTGCAATCCGCACATGCGCAGACGTGGGTTGCCAACGCTGTGGGTTGCGAATGTGCACAGATCACATTCACAACTCGAGCATCCACTGTACACGGATAGACCTTATGCATGAACTGACTATAGAATGATCTGATCCACTGGGTCCTCTGCTTTGTTTGTTTGTTGAACTTTATGAGTTACTTCTGTTGAAATTTACAATTTGATACTATGACTAGTATATCTTATTTATCGAAGAACACAGCCGGTTATGTCTCATGTGTTTATTGAGTATGCTTTACATGACCATAGGTTTGTTTGTGTTGCTTTATACCAATCTAGGCAATGAAATGAGTATGCATAGTTAGATCTGTCAGTTATTGGCATCCATCTGTCTCAGGAGACGATGGAGGAGTGTGCCTTTTGGGGTGAGGTCAAACTGTTGGAAGGTTGCAGCACCTGCTGTGGCTGTAGAGACTGATGCAGAAGAGACATGTTTTGTTGCAGCTGGGGCAGATGAAGGCATCTGGTTGTGCTGTTGCAGATGTACCCTGGCATTTTTTCTCTCTCTGTTCCTACCAGTGGTCATTTTTTCCTCTAGTCACTGCTGTAGGAACATGGCCTAACTGCTTGTCTCTGGATCTCTTTATCTATTGAGTCATTCATAATTTGATCTAAATCACTACAATATCGTCAGGAGTAACTAGTGTCATTAGTCATTAATAGCCATTAATCAAGAGTGGTTGGAATGATGAGGTACTGCCCCAACACTGCTGGCATGCACTTTGATGGAGTAGGGCAGGGAAGTGCCAATGTCGGGGCTGCAGGAGGGCACTGACATGAGTGCCAAATTGGCTCCACTGCCTTGCTCACATGCCCCAACCTCACCTAAACCAGGCAGAGGGTCTTCTCGGTAGTGGCGCCCACCCTGTGGAACGGCCCTCCCATCAGATGTCAAAGAAATAAACAATTATCTGACTTTTAGAAGACATCTGAGGGCAGCCCTGTTTAGGGAAGTTTTTAATGACTGATGTTTTTTCATGTTTTTAATATTCAGATGGGCAGGGTATGTATTTATAAATAAATAAATAAATAAATAAATAAATAAATATTGTGCGGTATCTATCTATCTATCTATCTATCTATCTATCTATCTATTACTAAACCAGACACTCTACATATTGTCTAAAACAGCCATTTGTTTAAATGGATCTTTCACAAAAGCAGAACTAATTGCCAGATGTTCATTCAAACACACAAGTTTTACTACAGAAAAATGAGTATAAGAAAGGAGCTCACAAAATTCAAAGAATCCATTTTAAAATACTGAATTGGGAAATTATATGTGTTGATAACATCATGGCAGTTCTTGTAACTTAAAACAAAATGCTAAAAACGCAGATTTTATTTTCTTCTTTTCTGCAAGTTAACTTTGATGGCTTACCCAAAATGACCCCTTGAATTTTGTCTCTGCCCTCCGCATACCAATTCAGTGAAGTCTGAAATGGTGGCCTTTGTCCTTATTCCTACTTCCTTTACTGTAAATAGCATTGTGTTCTTGGCAGTGGCATCCCAGCTATGCCATTCTGTCTCCCCTGAAGTATGGTTGATGCCTACCTGTTTAACCTCTCAATGCCAAAATGATATCTCCCAGCTGAAGACTTGATTATTTGCCCAGGCTTTTGGTAGACTTCAGTGCCAGTGGGTGGAATTCAACTTCATGCTATTACCAAAGTTCTGTCTGTGCAAGCATCTCTGCAACGTAACTGGCTGTGTTTAACTATATGAATTCTTCATACATCATATAAACATACCTCTTTTCACATTATCAAATTAAGTAGATGCAATTAAAGACCAACATTCTGAACAGGAAATACAAATAGATCAGTTCTTACATACATAATGTCCAAATAGAAGCTTTTTTGTGTTCCACATATGTCTTTACGAATACAAGTGTCAGACGCGACAACTTGAAGAAGCAGTACTTGCAGAAAATGAACTTGTTCTTTGTAATGTTCCACATATGCCTTTGCAAAGTATAGTTGTTGTATGCAGTTGCTGTATGCAGGTGTCAGACAAAAGATACGAAAGAGCTTAACATATGCCTTTGTAAAATATAGTTGGTGTATGCATATATCAGACGAAAGAACTTAAGGCAAGGATTCCCGAAATAATACCTTGTTTTGCCCTGCTGGGCTTTGTCAGCCGTGCATACTCTAAATAATACAGATAAACATAAAATGTAGCTTTTTAACAAATTAGGAAATATATAATTTATTTAAAAAACTACATTATTATGTTTATTTGTATCTGTTTATCTGTTATCCTTGTCTATAGGTAAAGGTAAAAGGAACCCTGACCAGGGGGTCCAGTCACAGGCGACTCTGGGGTTGCAGCGCTCATCTCGCTTTACTGGTGAAGGGAGCCGACATTTGGGTCATGTGGCCAGCATGACTAAGCCGCTTCTGGCAAAACCAGAGTAGTGCACGAAAATGCCATTTACCTTCTCGCTGGAGTGGTACCTACCGTATTTTTTGCTCTATAAGACTCACTTTTTCCCTCCTAAAAAGTAAGGGGAAATGTGTGTGCGTCTTATGGAGCGATTGCAGGCTGCGCAGCTATCACAGAAGCCAGAACAGCAAGAGGGATTGCTGCTTTCACTGCGCAGCAATCCCTCTTACTGTTCTGGCTTCTGAGATTCAGAATATTTTTTTTCTTGTTTTCCTCCTCCAAAAACTAGGTCCGTCTTGTGGTCTGGTGTGTTTTATAGAGCGAAAAATACAGTATTTATCTACTTGCACTTAAGCGTGCTTTCGAACTGCTAGGTGGGCAGGAGCTGGGACCGAGCAACGGGAGCTCACTCCGTCGCAGGGATTCAAACCGCTGACCTTCTGATCAGCAAGCCCTAGGCTCAGTGGTTTAGACCACAGTGCCACCCACATCCCTATCCTTGTCTATAGATTTACCTAACTATAGGTAAATGGAAGCATCTCAGCTTGCCAGGCAGAATGGTTCCCCCTCTCCTTCCCTCTGTACATTGCTCTGGGTGTTCTTCCACCCAATCGTGAGCCAATTTCAAGGTGTGCAGGGGGAGAACAGTGCGGGGGGGATCTCATAGCACGAGGAGAAGTCCTTGTGTCAGGCTTTGTCAGGGGAGTCCTCTCCTCTTCCGATAGCATCAAAAGCAAGAATAACAAGCACTTCACATTTTATAGTCCTTTTTATTCAGTCATGCAAGGCAAGAATCCATGTCTACACACAAAGAAAGACTTTGTCTATTCTGAGCCCCTTCTCTTCCGTTCCCAACAACATCCTGAGCACCAATGGGAAGTCCCAGGAGTCCCACGCCTCTGTCCTAGGATGCAGAGGGTCCAACAGGCCCATGGAGTTGGAGGATCCCCCATACTTTCCAGGGAGGTCTCTGCCAGTTGTTCTCTCACCTCCCCTATCTCATAACTAGGCAATTCCTCCTCGAACGGTATAGCATATCTCTCTCTCCCTCTCTTCCTGAAACTGCTGAAGACAAGTGAGGCAAACGTCTCCCTCCTCCTCCTCTTTGGAGAGAAGCTGATCAGACTGAATGCACACTTCCCAGTCTTCCTGTTCTGACCGTTCCCCGATAGGCTTCTACTGAAAGGGTTCCTTAAGTGAATCCCAGCCAGCCTGTTGATGTTGGTTTTCGTTGGCTGATTGTAACTCTCTGCCTTGTTTTTAGTACTTGCATGATGTACTTGAACTTGTTTTAATTTGTAATCCTACCATGGAATTGCATTTGCAATGAAGAGGAGGTAGCAAATGTTAAATAGAAAATGAAATTATGTGAGTATATGTTTAAGTGTGCATTTACAGTACCCTTTCTAGCTACAGCTCGGGTTGCGAACGTGATCTGTGTGGGAAGCACATTCGCAACCCGCAGCGCCACATCTGCACATGCGCGGGTCATGATTCGGCGCTTCTGTGCATGCGCAAAGTGCAATTTAGTGCTTCTGCGCATGCGCAAGTGCCAAAACCCGGAAGTAACCCGTTCCAGTACTTCCGGGTTCGGTGTGGTGCACAACCCGAAACTGCGCAACCCGAAGCGTCTGTAACCCGAGGTATGATTGTACATATAAACACACTATAATTCTAGTGTGCCCCTAACTTCTCTGTAAGGGTGATATAACACCCTCTTTTCTTTTCACTTTGTCAGCATGATGCCCATTT